CCCTATCGCCATTTCAATGACAAATGCTTTGACGAGCTGCATATCTTCCTTAATTACACCAGTTCTGAAATTCACAGCTAAAACCAGACATGCAACGTGCACTAGAACAAATCGGACACATTTTCATATTTCATTAGTAAGACCGTCCTGGATATAACGATAAACTACATCCGCGTCCTGGATAAGACGATAAACTACGTCCGACAGCAAGGCCTCTGATAAGGAGGTTTTGAGGAGCTTAAAACCACCTCTTAATTGCTGGTGTTCCCAGGTCCAACCTGACCCGGTGTGGTAGCACCTGTTAGGGTCCCAGCTATGGGCAAATAGTTAACCCCTAAACTGGGGTTAAAACTCTTTCAAGATGTAAAAATAGATTTTAATACCAGAAACACTTTTTTCTAAAATATTATTATCAGAAATACAGTATTACCAGCAATAATTTTTTTAAAATAAAATATTACCATCTATACAATTTCTGAAAAAATATTAGCTAATATATATTATATAATATATTAATAATAAATTTTCGAAGAAAAAAATATTACCAGCAATACATTTTTGGAAAAAATATTACAAGCAATAAAGAAGTTTGTCGGCTTTAAATAACCCATTGGGGCTGATATGCCGTAAATCAAAACAAACAAATTCATTAGTAAGAATAAATTCTATTTCGGCCGTTTAATACCAAGAACTACTAATTAAAGTAACTGACTCCTGCGGGGATGCTTCCTCGATCTCTATAATTTTAACCTTTTCAAGTTCAAAATTAACCGTTATATTTCCTACATATCCTAATAAACTGTACTTTTTCCAACAACATCAGACACTAGCCATCTACCAGGTAGCTTCTTGAGTCTTGTATTAGGTGAACAATTAGTAAAATAAATGATTCATTAATACACACCGTAAAATAAAATAATCATAAGTGTCATGGGTCCTTACCTATAACTACAGAATGGACTCTTTCTAACACTGTGTATATTACGCCTCTCAAGAGAGAGGGACGAATCGAGTCGAGCCGATAGTAGTTCACTCCAAACCAGACTGACAGTCATACTAACACCTTCCATATCTTATATCATTATTTCGTGTAATATAACTTCGTTATTTCTACTCTTGTGTTCGTGTTGTTCTTCCTTGGCCCTAACCTGGGCCATAACAATAAGAAGGAGATAAAACATGGTATTTATAGGAAAAATTAAATCCTGGTATTAATTATAGATTGATAAAATTCTGGGATTAATTTCGTGATAAGCATTGGAATCTGATTTCTCATCAAATCTCATTTTAACCTCTCAGTGGGTGAAAAATTTGCTGGTCACATTCTACGGTTCGAAACCAAAGTAATTACAATCTTTCATTGATTGGCAGACCCCACAAGCAGTAACGATGAATGAATGCCCTGTCAGTTGGGGGTCCGTGCCTTGAGAATTTATTCCCCAGACCTCAAAGTGGAACTCATACATACGATCCATCTATAAAAAGCCAGTTAAAATGGTCGGTTCCCTGTACTGTACCACTCCAGTAAGGACTGGGCTCCTCGTACTATCCGCTACCTTTTCAAGAGCCAGATCAGGCCTAAAATTGAGCACTGTTGTCATATTTGGTAAGGAACTGCCCAGTCCGATAGAGTCTAAATGCAACACCGCGCTCCATGTTTAGCGATTAGCTAGAGTGATTCGTTGTCCGGGCATTCTGACAGTGATATATTGTCTTTGTCTGGTTTCTAGATATAAGTCTAAAATGGCGCGAATTCAACAGAGGGTCTCGAGAATTCTGTCATGTTGATATGCCTCCCACAGGCCAGTTTTATCCCTTACATCCTCACCTGGATCCAACTTCTGTATGAGTCTCCAGGTGTGCTGGAGGAAATGAATGAGATTCGGTCGGAGCTTTTCGTATTGTCTCACCCCATTCGTCAACGTTGTCCGCTTTCGCCTTTGCTGTACGTTCTTAATTTGGAGCCTTTCCTTCGCAAGTTAAACATGGAATTTTTAAACGCGGAATTTCCCTACCTGTTGCTACCATCTCGAGCAAGTAATCCGTCTATGCTGATTACGGTTCTTGTGTCGAGCAGAGTCGTGATTGACGAAGTGAGCAGAGACAGTGACAGTGGCCAAGACCAACTACAATAAATCTGCTGGCTTGCGGTTGGGTGCGTGGAAGAGAGTTTCTCTTCCTGGACCTTTCCACTGGCTGGAAGGGGCCGATCAAGATGTTCAGCTTCGGTCCCGATCTCTTAGTGGAAAAGAATTTGTTGGAAGTGCGGGAGAAGTCTGAGGAGGTCGCAGTTCCTGTGTGGTCCACGGGGAGCGGAGGGTGGAAGTATTTGTTTCGTACATCAACCCGATTCTCTTTTATCGATACTCCGTACTTCCACTTTTGTCTACAAGACTAATATCATTAGTTAGGCTCTTGTTCTTCGTGTGGGGAGTCAAGGCCACCAAAGTACCTTGGAAGGTCTACTACCTCCACCTTTCTGAAGGCGATCTGGGTATGCCCAGCGTTGAGACTTGTCAACATACGCTTCGCAACACATTGCTAGATCGAATGTCAACAATCGGGTGAAGAGAGTGAGTTCTGGAAGGAAGACGCCCGTAAGAACTTCCCATCCCTGAGAAGTGTGCACTCGTGCGAGGATGAGGCACCCACAGGAGAATTCACCTTTCTATCGTGAATGTCGAACTGCTCAGGCGTCGTACGTGTTATTTAGGGAGTAGATACAAGATGATCTGATAGACGAGCTCGGTGTTACGAAGCTCAATATGGCTTTGGAGGCATGGATTGAAATTCCTCAATAATTCCTTGGCTGGCGATGCATAGGGTCTTCTGCGTCGGCAAAAGACTTTGTTCGGCAGGTTTGGAAAAATCTCCAAATATGCGTTGTCTGTGATGGAAAGGTGGAGACCCTGGGTCACATCTTTTTCCACTGAAGGTTCGTAGTCCCGTTTGGCAAGTTTATTGAAAGTATCACTGTTCGCATGCTGCGCGGAAAGTTTTTCGTCCTCAGAGGTCAGTTCCATCTGGAGCAATGTAGTACCGCCGTTAACGAAGGCTGAAAACTACGTGTGCTAGGAGTTATGAGAGTCATGCTTTGGTGGACACGTCAGAAGGAATTCTATGGGCTCGGGGAAGAAGTTCAACTCTTCACAACTGATCAGCCTAACTTCAAAAAAGGCGGCGGTGCCCTTCATCATAATTTGGCAAAAGGTGGGTGAGTCTTGCGCGTCTGTGCCGAATAAGAGGGGCCGATTAAGAGTGGCTCTTGGAGGTCGGTTAGGCATAAGGACCAAAACCCAGACCAAAATTAAACTAGCTCAGTGCTGTTTCTTCAAAGTGAACTTAGCTAGGGGACTTATATACATTTCTCTCTTGTATTTCCGCTCCCACTTTCTTTAGTTTAATTCCTTCTCCCCTCGATTCTCCTGTTATATGACCAAACATGTCAGTTCTCTGATGGATGCGGGACGACTTTCATATTTTGGGTGTGATTTTCGTATTTGTTATACTGTTTGAATGAGCGTGTGTTTGATTGAGTGGTTGAACGAATGAGTATTTATATTATTAAAGTCTAGCATTGATTTCGTCTGATGTTTCTGCCAAAATTAAGGTTTGCGGGTTTTACTAATAACGCAATTTCATTTAGTTTCTTGTAAATAGATTATTACATATTGTAAATACTCACTGAAATTGAGATCTTCGTTAGGACTTCATGGAGATTCTGAGGTATTATGGTGGACGTAAAAAGAATGGTAAGTAAGAATGCGTTGTTTTAGTATAAGGAATATTGTAGTATATTTGGCTCAGTAATTGCGACTAGCCACGTTTAATGAGATGACAGAAGAAGATCGTCGATATCCAATTCCCCCTTTTGTGCTTGTTCCATATTTTTTAAAATTTTAGAAAATAAAATATTGCTCTTCGCTATGGTACCGTGTCTTTAAGAATTGAAACGCATCATTAGATACGCTGCAAGATTTCACATTACATTTGAACTTGCTATATGTAACCGTAAGTTCCAGGCTAACGGTTACTCTTCTCGCACTTCTCGGTTGTGGATCATTCTTCCGGCTCCATGATCTCCGGCTAACTTTCAACATTGTTATACTGGAACATACCTATTCTATTGTTAATAGACTCTCCCACCTTTAATAAGTAGGAGTAGTAGAAGTCGCCAGGAGGCTCAGTGAGTTGGTCAGTCAGTCGATGTCGGACATTAAAGTATCAGCCACCACAACTAGATTTCTGCATCATTATTATCAACTATTATATCAAGTTTCTAACGTTTTCTACGTCAAACCTTTTTAGGACAGACTTAGTGAAATACAAGCCTGCACTGTGAAACTACTCTATAACAATCTTAAAAAAATTAAATGCAACGTCAATCTTTATCTCTTCTCGCACTTCTCGATTGTGGATCATTCTTCCGGCTCCCTACTCTTCTTATCTAGCATCTTCCAGATTACTCTTCTATTTTTCACGCTCCTTTATAGTTTCTGCTTTCTAATTCTTTTACACTCAGTAACCCCTTATGTCTTTGTGGCTTTACTGTCTTGCTTCAGTTAAATACGATTTTAAAAAAAGTTGTGCTGATTGTGTGCGATCGAATCTTATTCTTGTAAAAGCCTGGAAGTTAAATTACGGTCAACGAACATTTAGATATTCATGCCACCAGGAAACTTTTCAAGATGTCACTATTAATGATTCATTTTGAACCGGATTCCCTGCCATTGTTATTTTGTTACGTTTCGCCATTCTTCAGGTGTCTGTCGAAATCAGTAACCATCTGAAAAACGTGAATGCATGCTGTGAGGAAATGCTTTAGGCTACATCGGTGGAAACGTTGTGACAAAAACAACAATGGGTAGAGTATCTGATTCAAATGAATCGATGTATCACTGTGTCAACGACTTTTCTCCGAAATATAGTAAAAAAAAAAGAAGCTCGGAACAGTTTTTAAGTAATGTAATCTGATCTTTCTCTTTGCCAACAAAGAACACTTAAAAAGCAACCACAGTAAGCTGATGGAACGAAATAATAATACTACTACAAAGAATAACATCATTGGGAAATAAGGAAAGTAACCGAGTCAGCACATATGCTCTGCTTAAATGATCCAATTCGTAAACCAAGTATACAAAATAACATTTCTTCTTAGAAACGACAGAGATAAAGTTAAAGGCTCCAGATATCTACCTATAAAGCACCCAGAAGAGCCGATGTAGGTTCTAGTAGCACAATTCTGTCTCCTTCTGATGACGTCGTGAGTTTGCATTCTCGGTTAAAACAGCGCGCACATCCATCAGTCCCAATGATGTGAAGTAGATTCAAAAATAGGAGGTCACACAATACACACACATATACGCACACACATATACGCACACACATATACACGCTAGTTCTAGGTATGACTATAAAATACAGCCAGCAGCAAGGCCTTTTTCTATTTTTTACCTGTAGTTGAAGCCATAAAATTCTGTTAAAATATTTCAATTAAATTTTGGCATTAAATGGCCCATAAAGAGTTGATATGCCTTTAAACAAATTAATCAATCCGTCACATACATACACACACATACACATATACATAAATACACACACAAACGCACGCGCACTCACACACACACACACATATATATAAGGTGCGATGTATAAATTGTCGCCATTTTATAATTTTAAAATGCACGTTTTTTGTTTTAGGTTCTGTCGACTGCATAGTGTAATAGATTGGCCACCGTCTGTGAAAAAAAAGTACCATGATGTAATTCACTCTGCCAGAAATTAAGAAACGACATGCTGTACTACTTGGCATTCGCGCCGGAAGCTCTAATACGGACATTTCAGAGTGTTTGGGTCTCAATCTGTAGACAAGTTGATTTGGAAAGATTTGGATGATATATCCAGTCAATATCATGATGTTTGGAGTGATCATTGGTGATCATTATGCCTGGCAACAAGATTCTAAATTATGCCACACAAGCAAGTGAACCCAGTCATTGCTGTCAGACAATTTCTGCAATCAGATCACCCCCTACATCTGGTCACTTAACTCTCCAGAACTGCAACCTCTTGATTATTATATGTGGTGGGCAAAGTTGACCGAGAAACCAACAAAAATCCTTGAAACACCAAAGGTGAACTGAAAGAAATGATTATGGCAGCATTCACCAACTTACAGAAAGAGAAAAGTTTCTGGAAATTCTGAAATTGCCGATTTTATTGAATAGATTTATTCTTTAGTGTTTCAAGATATTTTTGTGTAATATTGTAAATATAACTGTCAGCGCTCTTCTCATTTCTGCGTAATTTCGACAACAATTTATCAATCGCCTCCATATATATAATTATATATATATATATATATATATATATATATACAAGGTAACCAAAAAAGTTCTGTTCCTTAGAAATAGAAAACGCTTTACAGTATGTGTAACTTATATTTAGTCTTCGAAGTAATCGCCATCGGCATCCAGCACCTTCTGCCAACGTGTCTCCAGCTGTTCAATTCCCTTGCGGTAGAACTCGGAGGCTTTTGATGCAAAGAAGTCCATGAGGGCTTTGCGCAAGTCTGCCTCATTGGTGAAGGATTTCCCACGAAGATGATTATCCATGGAGTGTAAGAGGTGGTAATCGGATGGCGCAAGGTCAGGTGAATAAGGTGGATGGCACAAAGTCTGCCACCCAAGTTGCTGTATGGTATCCTTGACCACTCGCGCGACATGCGGCCTGGCGTTGTCATGGAGGAAAAGCACACCTTTGTGATTCACCAGTGCTGGCATCCTTCTGGCGCAATGCCTGTTGCAAACGTTTCAATTGCTGCGAGTATAGGTCTCCAGTGACCATTTGGTCCGTTGGTAGCAGTTCATAATGAACCACTTGATGACCTGTCCACCAGACACAAAGCATAATCTTGTGTGGGTGCATAAGCGGTCTTGAGGTGTGAGGGACGGCATCCTGAGGAGAGAACCAATGTTTGAAACGCTTGGGAGTTTCGTACAGAACCAACTTTTCATCACTGGTAAGCACTCGATTGAATAAGGATGCAGTACGGTGGCGAGAAAGCAGCGATACGCAAGCTGCCATTTGTTGACCCTTGTGGACCTCCAACAGCGTTTGCGGAATCCACTTGCTCAGTTTGTACGTTTTACCTAGGTGGTGCAGGTGAAGTCTAACTGTTTCATCGGAAAGGATGAACTGTCTTGCAAGTCCACCACACGTTAGACTACTGTCCTCTTCACTGTCCGCCTTCAGGACTCCGTCATTCAAGACCTGTGGTCGTCCACTGCCAGGCTCATCATGGCGAAAAAAATCTCGCGACTTGAATTTTCGAAACCAACGCCTTGCAGTACGTTCATCCACAGCACTATCCCCAAACGCTTGACATATGCGGCGATTTGATGCAGCTGCTGATAATCCCACTTTGAAGTCGTAAAGCAAACAGACCCGAACGAGATCTCTAGACACTTCCATCCTTCTCACAGCTGTCCGGCTTATAACTGATGGCCGGGCATGGTGCGCGTGTTTTTTATAACGTCTGATGTTCCTACTTCCGGCTGTCCGAATTTGACAACAATTGCTACACGCATTTCGTATATATTTCAACTTCATTCAATGACTAATCAAAAAACGGACAGAACTTTTTTGGTTACCTTGTATTTATCATAATATTAAGCAATAGTGACAATGTCTGTCTAACGTTTTATTTAGTTAACCTCCATCTAAGCTGTTTTATGTTAGAATTAACTTTTTAAATTTCATCTTTTGTTTGTCTATCCGCGTACTTTCGACTGTCCCTAGATTCGTTATCAAGAGATTGCTTGTTATTATTGCTGAACACGCAATTCTAATAACACGTAAATGTAATTAAAGACTAAAAGAAACTAGTTCAATTTTGGAGGCGTTAAAGTTAACAAGCAATTTCCTGACCCGATTAACAACAGGAAAATGTGTCTCCCAAGTTCAGTATCTGTTATTGCTCTTTTCTAGTATTGATGGGTGTGTACTTTCTAAACTTTTATGGGAATTAGTGGCAGAAAGTGCGACACTCAGATTTGAAGAATATTTGGATGACCTAAAATGCATTTCAAAAGCTAATCAAAATTTTAAGACAGAAAAAAAATTCGTTAGAAATAAAAATAAAGAGTACTGAGCTTTTACGTGATATCTGAACACCTGTATGGCAGCGAATATACGACAATCTTCACAAAGATGAAGAAGAGCCTTGAAGTAACAGAAACGTAGCACTACAGGATGATGTTGAGGATACCATGGACTGAGCATGTGAGCAACGACGAGGTTTTGGAGAAAATGGAAATAAAAATGAAACTTATACTTAACACCAGGAAGAGGCAGCTGCAATTTCTCGAACACGTTATAAGGAAGAAGGGCTTAGAAAATTTGGTACTCAGAGGACAGATTGAAGGAATTACTGACAAAGGAAAACAGCGTGTGACATACTTGATGAACTTGAGTAAATGGAGGGTAGAACAGGGTTTGGAAGAAATAACAAAAAGCCAAAACTTATCAAGACCTTAGTGGCGTGCATTGGTCTAGTAGGCGCCCTCTAACCCAAACAAAATCGCAAAATATATTTAGTTTATTTTGGACCGATCCATTGTTCACGAAGTTTTATCACAATCAGTTAGAGGGAATGTTTAAATAAAAAAAAAAACAATAACGCATTATACAAATCAGACAAATTTTATTTATTTATAGATTTTGCATTAGGTTGACAAAATGGCTTCGTTTTTGAAAAATTTCTTAAACGCGTTTTATTGTTTTAACACCAAAACTACAAAAAGCTGAACATGCCGATTAAAAAAAAATCTAATATCTGACTGTTGATAAAAATAAATGAAAAACAATTTCAACACAGTAATAGATAAAATTTTGCGTAAATACTTCTTATCTAATACTTTTCTTTGTGATATCAACTAACAGTTATTGCCACTTTCGTAATGCTCGTTCCATTAGTGACTTTGTAATAGCTGTTGAACAATACTGGTGTCTGACGCCTTGAAATAACAGTCGCACTAATAATACTTGCTTAATAATACCCGCACGAGTAGTGATCCGTATAGTGATCCAAATAGAGAAATAGTATAGTGAATAGAGTAGAGAATAGCGTTCCGTATAGAAATAGAGGATAGAATAGCAATGGTAGTCCGTATAGTAATAGAGGATAGACTAGAAATAGCGATCAGTTAGACGCCACCCGATTTACTACTTATGTGTTTCCTCTATGGTCTACTTAACTGAATAATGGGATCGCCTGTGTTTGCTCACTGGTGATCTATGTTCAAACTCAAGTATCGGCAGCGAGACTATATTCATATATAAAACTTGTTTATCCATTTTTTTTTTTGTGAAATATGACAACATAATGGTGTGGATCGCCTACGTCCTGAAGTGACACACATTTATACAAGAAGAATATAGTTTCTTCTTAATCTTTCACTCGATGTAGTGTGGAACGTCATCATATTGATGGATCATTAATCTCTCTGCGAGTTACATGTGCTAAACATTTTAGTAGTTGCTGCTGTTGATTGTCCTCTAGTGATGTGATTTTGCCTTATTTGGTAACGTGTTTTGTTTGTGATTATGTATGACGAGGTCATGAGGTTCAAAAAAGGATGGTCCTTGCTGCAATCTACAGGCTTCATTCGTTAGATTCCATATTAAAGATTCCTGCTGATAAATTTACTTAAGTAAATAATTCGAGGTTTTAAGAGAATGTTTAGGTTTTGTAGCAACATACACTGTTGTGTGAACTACACTAGCGTAGTCTGTTCTGTATTCAATTTCCGTGTCTCCTGTGCTAAATCTGTTACATCACACCCAGGGGTTATGCAATATTTGAAGATATATATATATATATATATATATATATATATATATATATATATATATAACTGTCATAACTGATCCATACACCGAGTTAACGGAAGATAGATAGATAGATAGATAGATAGATAGATAGATAGATAGATAGATGAGATGAACAGACTGATAGATAGATAGATAGATAGAATAGATAGAAATAGATAGATAGATAGATAGATATGAACAGACTGAGATAGATAGATAGATAGATAGATAGATAGAGATAGAAAACAGATCGGAGAAAACAATAGATATGAACAGACTCAGATATAGATATGAACAGACTGAGATAGATGAGATAGATAGATAGATAGATAGATATGAACAGACTGAGATAGATAGATAGATAGATAGATAGATAGATAGATAGAACAGACTGAGATAGATAGATAGATAGATAGATAGATAGATAGATAGATAGATAGATAGATAGATAGATAGATAGATAAGAACAGACTCGGAGAAAACAGATAGATAGATATGAACAGATTCAGATAGATAGATAGATAGATAGATAGATAGATAGATAGATAGATAGATAGATATGAATAGACTGTAATAGATAGATACTAATTGACTGAGACAGATAAATACATAGATATTTAACAGTGAGATAGATATGAACAAACTTAGAGGAAGATACAGACAGACAGATAGATATGAATAGACTGAGATAGAGAGGATAGAAATATATAATGAGCCAATAAATGTGTAACTCGAGTTTTGTGTGAGTCTGATTCTTTTTGTGTCTTATTTCTTAATCTGCCTTTTTACATGCTCTATAATTTGTTTAATATTATATTGAGTACATTATTATATTCTCAGGCAGATAAATAGGATAAAGTGATGAAAATATTGTAAATTTTTTGGGTTCAAATGCGTCATTCAGACGAGCCAATTGCTAAATGTAGACATGCGCAATAACAGTCTGTCCATGTGCGAGCAATTCAAGCAAGAACACATTTTCCACAATAATTTTTTTTTTTATCGGTACCACCCCAATCAAGGTACTACTAATGCCACCAAAATACAAGGGGTTACAAGGTGTGGAAGAATTAGGACCATAAATTTTTCTAATGAGGAGAAAGAGAAAAGAGTAATCAGAAGGATTGTAGATAGCGATTGACATTCCATTTAAATTTTTACTGATTAAAGTTGACTGGAAAACAAGGAGCCGAAAGGGAGTTCCACAAGTGAGAAGTGCGAGAGAAGAAACTGTTAGAATAGAAATTAGGGTTAGATCTAGTCAGCTCAACTCTAAATTGATGAGACCTTAATGCCAATCTAGTGCTGCATTTAAATTTTTTTTAAAAACTTGGTAAAATAGCGAAGAGCTCATTTAAACAATTACCATGAAAATATTTATAGAAAAGACACAGAGAGGCAATCTGTAAAAAAAGAAGAGGTTCAATAATATTGCTGATTCTTCTTTGGATTTTATCAAGGAGCTCAAGGTAAACACCAGGAGTACCGGACTATATGTGGCAGCAATATTCTAAGCATGGACGAATAGTAAACTTATAGATATATAAGATAGATTCTGGAGAGAAAATATGTCTGGCCCAACACAGTGAGCCGATTTTCTTAGCAAATGACCTAGCAATAGATTTAATATATCTTCCCATTTCATATCAGGAGAGAGAACGAGAGCCTGAGAAGGCGTAACGAGACTCTTTCCTGGAGGATAGCATCAGCCATACCGATGGAAGGCGGGAATGATGGAACGCTTTCCGTTACGACTTGGGATTTCAAGATAGAAATCAGTAGAATGCGGCTTGTCAAGACATCAGCATGAGCTGTTGCTACTTGAGTTTTGGGAAAGATATCAAAAGTCGAAAGCAAATGCGTCAATCAAATTCGTGGTCATCCTAAATCATGTGAATGTTAAAAAAAAAAACAAGTCACGTATACTGTTCACATCTTGCGTAGATTTTCTCATATACAATGACAACAATTACATTCTTTTTCTTTCTGATTGCATGGAATGTCATCTGTTTGCATCTTCTGACATAAAAATCTCTTGAAGTCTGGTTGAAAGCCGGGAACATCTCGTAATACACAAATCAAAGGCAAGAAATAATAATAATAATAATAATAATAAGCACATTATTTTTACTATTGTTCAACCAATACAAGGTCCAAGACCCACTCAATGTAGAGAGCTACTCTGTTAACTAAGAGTAGGAAGGAACAGGCGTTAGGAGCAATGAGGTGAAGTAGAGTTTGAAGGGAACCCCAATTCTAAACAGGAATCAAAGGAAAAACCTCAACTCATGTTTAAAAGATCAGGAAGGTGCGTGAACGGGGCGATAAGCGAACCTATCTACTCGTATTGATGGAGGAGAGAAAAAATAAAACGTAATAAATAGTCAGTGAATAATATTTCAATGTTCAGGCGCAGGGGTTCGGAGTACAGAGCTGAAGCAGACTTTAGAAGGAACCTGGAAACCAATCGTAAAAAGGACATCTGAAACGTTCAAACGATGATGCATAATAGCCAATCCAGTAGTATGCCTAAATACATGCGGTCAAGGTACCAAGAAGGAAAACTAATCAAAACAACCGCCATTTATAGAAAAGACAACGGAAAGCCACGTCACAGTGTTGTGAAAGCGAATGAAGTCGAGATGCCAGATCAGGGTCTATACCATCACAGACCCTTATTTGGATTTTATCGAAAATCTCGAGATATATAGCCAGAGTATCAGATTAAATATAGCGATTTTCTAAGCGAAGCATAGACTTGACACAAGGCAGAAAGTATGTGATACCCGGTGTGGATCGAACTCATTATTCAGTCGTAATTGATTTAGCGAGACAGACTTCTTGCTAATCCTTACACCACGTGTACTCCCAACCGCAGCACGTTATTTACGAAGGGCTTTATTTATGTAAAATGTGTTTGATCTCATGATTTTTTTTTTTTTTTTTTTTGTTTTGCTTTTTACAAAAAAATCTCAGTGGAAAATGTCATGATGCCATTTCTGACCTTAGGAATCTGATTAGAACCCGGAAGGAAATGAACATTCAACAGAAATCAAAGGATATAAAATAAAAATCGTAATAATAATAATAATAATAATAATCATAATAATAAGCATTACAGTTTTTATAACATCTGATCTTAACTGACTGGAAATATAAATATTCATTTTTGTTCTTGTTTTTGTCTTGGTGAATTAAGATCATCTGCAGTAAATATTCGCTTCAACATTGATGAACTATTTTTTTTTTTTAATATTGGTCTTCCTAAATGGCAGTGAATGCTGGACAATCTTCTCACGGATGAAGAAGAGACTTGATGCAACAGAAATGGGGTTCTGCAGAAGGAAAATATTCTTGTAAAATGTGAAACTCGAAGTAAATTTGAAATGGTAATGAACTAACGTTCTCAAATAATTTAATTAAGAGCTCATCTAAATGGCTGACAGCTGGGAAAAAGACATAGATTGCTAAGAGATATATAAAATATAGGATGTTTTGAAAACATGTTTTCCACGTGCTGAAAAGACACTGCACAAGAAGACCATAAGTTTCATAGTCAACTTCCTCATCTTAATTAGTTGGGTCTCTCGCGTAGGGCTGAACCATTGTGCATTAATGAGTAAGTAATTGAGGAATATCATGTCGGTGTGTTTCTTTTTTTTTTTTTTAAATATGAAGGATGAATAAGCTGGTCTGTGTGCCATATATAGTCACTAATAGGAAAATTTAAAATATATATATATCAAAGTTTGACCTATTAAGCATGTATTAAAATACTTTTCAAGCAAAGCACATTCAAATAGAACCGAGCAAATTTATATATTTGTGCATATTTGCTACTTAATACTACGTCTGTGTGCCAGTTATAGATAAAATAACAAGTAAGCAGTCGGTGTGATAGTATTAGTAGCATTCCGAGTCGATAATGTTATTAAGAAATCTTCCTGTGTTTATTCTTTTTCCTGTTGTATTAAAACTGTCTTTAAATATATGAACTCTGCTATAAAATATATAGAAATTTTTTTTTGTAAATCACTATTTCTAAAGTATAAAATTTTAGGTGCTAACTTCATCAGCTTTATTCTTTTCTTTTCTATTTTCATTTTTACCGCCTTAACATTCCACAATATATTTTGTCACTTTTTATTATTTATTATAATTTGAGCAGTTTGCAACCCCCAAAACAGGAGATCCACGGTAATAATACTGAAGTCGGTGAGAATGCTAATGGTGATACTGGGGGATTTGTGTCTTACTTTCACTTAATCACAACGATTGCTTTTGATAACACATCTATACAGAGGCAAATTATAATATAAACGCTTAAAATTCAGTTAGATTTCTTTTTAAAATATGAAAGAGATCATTGAATAAACTGATTATTTAAATCAACATTTTTCTGTTTTCTTTTTGTTTAATTTTTCAAATAAATAGTTTATTTCGGAGAAAAACGCTTAACCGCACGTACACAGTCAGAAAAAAAGAAAAGTTATCATTGAGTTTTTTAGGAGATAGAATTGATTATTTCCTATAGCAAAAAGCGCGGATCGAAATATGTCAACCAGCAGATTTTGATTGGCGGATACGATGATGACGCCAAACATTGATTCGTGAGGTGCTTACACCGCTGTTTACTAAAATGGCCGTTGGGGGTGAGGAGTTTGTAAATGCAAGCATTGACAAAATGGGAACAGCAATTCTATTTTGTATTTTTTTAACGGTCAACGCTTTTCACGTAAAGAGAAGAAAAAATGGCAAAATGGACCAAGAGAAAACTGGTTTAATCGGGATTCTGTTAATATTCATTCTTCATCTTCAGATACAAAAAAAAACAACTATTTATGCACACATACATACACACACATACACACCCACATAACCAAACACACACACACACATATATATATATATATAGTCATCCACAGACAGACTGTTTCGCTGTGTCATAGTTTATATATACACAATTTATATATATATATATATATATATATATATATATATATATATATATATATATATTAAATTGTGTATATTTAGGCAGTAATTTTTCATTAATGCATGTTTCATTAAATAATATAGACAAGTTTAGTTTATTTATTTTAAGTAAGTTCCTTTCATATTGTCTGGTCAGCTTAATCACATTATCATTGAAAGACGAAAGGAAAATACCATATTAATACATGTTTAAATCCAATCTAAGCTTTCGGCTTACATAAGCCATTATCAAAGATGACAAGGGCGGATTATCATCGTTGTTTTGTCCATGTATTTTTTCATATATTGAAATTGTCATCTTTGATAATGGCTTATGCAAGCCGAAAGCTTAGATTGGATTTAAACATGTATCAATATGGTGTTTTCCTTTCGTCTGATATTAATTACATAGAAACGGTTAAACAAATTATTGCAATAAACGAAAGGGTGAGCATATTGTATCAGCATATTATTTAGGCTCTATTTATGTATTGAGCACTGTTTTTTTTTTAAATAAATACAAAAATACTAAAGCCTTTTGGTTTATTAACATAACGGTTCTTTCCTATTGAAAATCTTTGGGCGATAATGGACAAGTGTGCCCTTAATGAGAAAGTTAACACAGAAGATGAAATTTTCGCGAATTAAAGGAATGCTGGAAAAATCTGGCGAACGACGTTGACTTATTAAAGAATTTAGTCCATAGAAT